TAGGTGAGACGACGAGTCAATTCTCGTTCGTTCCTAAAATGATTTAAAACATATTTTTCGGACGTTCAGTCACCATCTCGCTTGAAATCTCGTAATCGTTTGGAATATCAATTTTGATAATCCCAAACGATGCTTGTGTGCTTGCGAGCTCATTAGAAAAAAAAAAAGAAAAAAAAAATCACATTAATCACATACTTTTTTAATCACGCATTATTTAATCGTAAGAAGAGGAAGAGGAAGAAGAGGAAGAAGAATAGAAAAAAAAAATAAAAATAAAAAAAAGAAAAAGAAACATTCACCTACGCATATACATACCATATCGTTAGATCCATTCGTTAAATAGTTAATCATTATTAATATTTATCGATAAGTACGCACCATTTGTGTTCTCTGGTGTAACCCCCTAATTCTCGTCATCGCAATCGCACACATCCGATGAGCTTTGCCTGCGATCGGATTTTCGAGTAATCCTTTAATTGAACTTATCCGTTTGGTGACCGTTTCGAAATTCTGACGCAATCCAGGCGCCACTGCCATGGGCGAAGTGCCCGGAGGTCGACGAGATACCGGTAGAAGAATGTGTCAAGAGCTCTGAGACCGCTTACTTTTGGTACAGAACCACTCTGGATGCGGCACCGTCGATCGAGGATGGCCAATCTCTCAAGTGGTGGATCGTTCTGTGCCTTCTACTCAGTTGGATCGTTGTCTTCTTTATCGTCATGAAGGGGATACAATCATCGGGCAAGGTAATTTCCTTTTAATTACTTTTAACTTTTCGAAACTAAATCCGAATTAATATTAATCTTAATTGTTTCTTTTCTTCTTCTTCTTCTTTTTTCTTTTTTTTTTTTTTTTTTTTCTTTTTTTTTTCTTCCAATTACAGGTAGTCTATTTTACCTCGATGTTCCCTTACCTCGTACTCACGATCTTCTTCATTCGTGGAATAACTTTGAAAGGTGCTAGTGCTGGATTGGCACACATGTATACGCCAAAGGTATATCGAATTGTTCTCGAGTTTGGGGATAGGGGATAATGAAATAGAAAAAGATAAATGAAACTCCCATTCGATCTTATTTCAATTAATTAATTTCTATCTGATGTAAAGGTCGAGAAATTATTGGAGCCTACCGTCTGGCTTGACGCAGCTACACAAGTCTTCTATAGCTTTGGATTAGCTTTTGGTTCCTTGATTGCATTTGGAAGCTACAATACGCCCGACAACAATTGCGTCAGGGACGTGATTCTGGTGAGCGTGTGCAACGCGTTTACCGCCATTTACGCGAGCGTTGTCATTTTCGCCATTTTGGGGTTCAAGGCGATGTCGAATGTGGACAAGTGCCTGGAAAGGTAATCGCAAGATATCAGGTTTCGGCCGAAATAAAAAAGAAAGACGAAAATAGATAAAAGGGAAGAAACATTCCTATGTCAGAAAGTAAAATTGCTTTTTTAACTATCGGTAGTACGATATGACGTTTACAATAACACGACAAACATTACTTCTTTTTTTTTTCCACGAAAAAGAAAGAAATAAAAAAAAAAAAAAAAACAAAGATGCGTAGTAGGAATATAGTTTCGAAACAAAAACGATCGGAATGGATCATCTCGATATAGACATTACGGGGATTATTATAATTACTTGAAAAAAAAAACAAATGAAAAGAAAGAAAGAAAAAAAAAAAAAAAAACAAAAAAGAAGTCCTAAATTAAAAAAACAAAAAATAAAAATCAAAGAAAAAGAGCAAAAAAGCATGTGCATGAATTATCATCAACCGACAACGACTCAATTGTCCGTTCATTGTCTCTGTTTCAATGATAGGAAATGTTTATAATGAATTGAAGAAAAAAAAAAAAAAAAAAAAAAAAAAGAAAAAAAGAAAAGAAAAATATGAGAAATATTCGCATCACATTTTTTTGTTTTCTTTAAAGAAATTCTCTTCTTTAGAGAAAAGAAAAAAGAAAGAAAAGAAAAAGAAAAAAAGGATTTTATTAATTATACAGTTATCATTAAGATCGAATTGTTCGTTCATTACGCGTGTTCTTAAAGTCGGTTCGAGATTGTAAGATATCGAAAAGAAAAGAAAAAAAAAAAAAAACAAAAAAAAAAAGAAAAAAAGAAAAAAGGTTTTCATAACGATTTAACAAGATGCACTCATCGCGAGCTCTTATCTATCCTTAACAGCCAAGTACGGGTGCTCCTTGCCTACGTTGTCGCTTACGCTCGAAAAGAAATTCGTCGTGTTTATTACTACATATGTATATCGTATCTCTCTCTCTCTCTATCTCTCATCATCTCGACATTCGCGGGAACCTTGCCAAATGGAAGACACATCGACGTTGTAATTAAAACGTTGCAACGACGAAGAGGTAAGAGGAGAGGGAAAAGGAGAGATGATAAAGGGATGCACCCACTTTTATTTTTTTTATTTTTCTTTTTTTTTTTTTTCTTTCCTTCTTTTTATTTTCTCTTTTCTTTTTTTCTGCACGATCTTACGACTATCTATTTTACGAAGGCAAACGATTCTTCTTTTATTTTTCTTTTTTTTTTTCACCATCGTTAAACAATCCGATAGAGAAAAAAATATTTTCGATGAAATTTATGTTACGATATAGAAAAGAAAAAACGGAATCAACAAAAAAAGAAAAAAAAAAAGAAACAAAAAGAGAAAGATAACAATAACGGTCTACAAAGAGCCCTTTTCCCTCTTCATTTTAATTCATAACACACTCGTGGAATACGCACAATAATGCTTTTAAAATAAAATACTAATGTCTAATGAAATTCTACTAAAGTTCTTTTATCTTTAATACGTTCGGGGATATAAAAAAAAGAAAAAGAAAAAGGAAAAAGAAAACTAGCAATTAAGAATATATATATATATATATATATATATATATATATATATATTGCGATAAATGAAATTATCTATAGTATACCGAAAGTAATGTGAATTTTCGAGATAAGAACATTTGCACTTGTGTGAAAAAATTCTCTCTCTTAAAAAAAAAAAAAAAAAAAGAAAAAAGAAACAAAAGAAAAAAAATTATCTGTTTTAAAATAAAATAAAAAAAAAAGAAAGAAAGAAAATAAAAATAAAAAGAATATAATAAAAGGAAAAAAGAGGGGAAAATATGAGATAAAAAAAAAACAACTGAACTAGAGGTACTGCCGGTTTGGTTTTTCGTTTTGTGTTATATTCAAAGACGACGTGCGACAGATTGAACAGGCAAAGAGATACTCGAAGTTCTAGGGAAAAAATATAACTTTTCGTTGTTTTCAGCAATAAGGCCTCGCTGATCAAGCATGGTCTTCTATTTGCAAATTCAACGACTGACGATTACGAAAACGTTCTAAATACGTTCAATATTTCGACTGCGAATTTGACCTTGGATAGATGTAGTATGAGCGAACAACTGAATAACGTGAGTATCAAGAATATTCAAGAATCGATTTATTCTAAATTTATATCGTGTACCGATCGATTTCATTTCTATATGATACGAAACCTTCGACCATTGATTTTCAGGCTGCCGAAGGTACTGGATTGGCCTTTATAATCTTCACTCAAGCGATCGTCGAGCTTCCAGGTGCACCATTTTGGTCCTGTATATTCTTCCTAATGCTTTTGGCCCTTGGACTTGGCTCACAAATTGGTATTATGGAAGGAATGTTGTGCGTAATCTTTGACATTGATCTATTCAAGAGAATAAAGAAACAGTATATAACAGGTAAGTTATTACTTCTTTTTTCTTTTCTTTTTTTGTTCTCTTCTTTCTTTTTTTTCTTCTTTTTTTTCCTGTTTTCATACACATTTTTTTCCCGCCAATCAATCGATCTAAATGACGATATCCTTCGTATTTCTTTTTCTTTTTTTTTTCTTTTTTTTTTTTTTTTAAATTATTTTAGGCGTAGTATGTATCGTTTGTTTCTTCGTCGGCCTCATCTTCTGTACCGGCGCAGGAGAATACTGGTTGAAAATGTTCGACAGTTTTGCTGGTACCATTGGCCTCGTTATGGTCGCACTTATGGAAATGATATCGGTCATCTTTGTCTACGGCCACGAAAAGTAAGTTTATATTCATTTTTATCTCTATATAACATTATCACTATAACCACGTATTTTTATCCGTGAGAAATGTTTAGAGGGCATCGATCCTTATTCGATCGATATAAAACATATCTGTTATTATCTTTTATGTATATATATATATATATATATGTATGTATATATCTTTGACGAATATTTTATTAGATTCACGAAAGACATCGAAGAAATGACAGGTTATAGGCCTGGTATTTATTGGCAAGTTACATGGAGATTTCTCGCGCCTATAATCATGGTTGGCATACTGATCTCCAGTATTGCTTCTATGTTTATCAAGAAACCAGAATATTCAGCATGGAATGCAACGTTGGTAAGCATATAATCAATTGAATTTCATTATTTTATATATTACATCGATTTATTCGTTCGTAACTTATTGACAAATACGATCATTAATTCATTTTAAACGAATCAATTTTCATTTAAGGCCATTACTATTTTTAGTCATGAGCGAAACAATTTATAGATCAGTCATTTATCTATGCCTTTTACAGTGAACTTTAAAATCGATATTGTAAATATACCTGATAATGGCCATCTGTTTGAATATATCCAAGAAAATGTAGATAATATTTTTTCTTTTTTTTTTTTCGTTTTTCTTTTATGAACAAACACATGGAATTTTTTTAATCTTTCTTTTTTTTCTATCACAGCTCTAATAACAATTAATATATATATATATATATATATATTTTTTTTTTTTTCTTTTTCTAGGGTATAGCAGTATCTACAGCTTATCCAGGCTGGGTCTTAGCTATTGCAGCATGTATAATTGTTGCCGGTATTGCACCGATACCAATAGTTTTTCTACTTAGAGTATTCCAATGTGTAAAACTCGACGTGGACATTCATCAGGGTAGCATTCGTCGGATCGACACGACCGTATCGACTAAGGAAATGATGGGTGACGTTGATGTAAGTTGATTGTATCTATTATTTATATATTTCATTCAACTGCGAAGAGAGAACAAAAATGTAGCTTTTTCTATCTTCCCTTACACCACAACCTCGTCTCATTGACAAAATAATTTTGTCTTTCTTTCTCTCTCTCTCTCTCTCTCTCTTTCTCTCTCTCTTTCTCTTTTCCTTTACTTCTTCTTCTTTTTCTTTTTTTGCTTTCAACTCGACTATTTTCTCTGGTGTTTTCGAGCTGCAAAAGTAATCAATGAAAAACACAAAGAAAGAAAAAAGGAAAGAAAAGAAAAGTAATATTAGAATTTTCTCGAGGTAAACAATCGATAAAATTTATCAAATTTTTATCTCGACTATATAAATATACTTGAGAAAAGTATGAGAAAAGAAAAGGTCAAATGGTACGGATACGAAATATATTTCATACTGTGTGTTTAATCGATAATGCGATTCGGAGCAGTCGAATTTCTTACGTCATTCACGCTACATTCTCTCTTTCTTTATCTCTCTATCTCTCTCTCTCTCTCTCTCTCTCTCTCACTTCCATACTTAAAAATATCCGTTTCTAGAAATAGAAAGTTAGAGAGAAAGATTTATGATTCGTATAAACTTCGTGACTGTAAACGATCCAAATGAAATAATAATTATTATCAAATTTAGTAAATAATTTTCATCTTCTCTGTTAACCATAATCATAAATGACGTTGGTTACTATGATACGAATCCAAACAAGACGATTAGAAATACGCTTCCAAGTTTATAGTTAAAGCAATGAACTATTATCGAATTGATTTAAGTCGAAAAGTTATAAACCGATTTAAGCGTCAACCAATAACGATCGTCAAACTCTTCATAAACTATCTACGATTTGAACACGTCAAACAACAAGTAATGACGATGTCCAACGTCATAAAGTTCAATAACACGAACACGTTCAACCTATATCAACCTTGACTTTGAACTTTTATCCATCAATTCCTTTCATATAATGAGAGAAAGAGAGAGAGAGAGAGAGAGAGAGAGTGAAATAGAGAGATCATTAATACCTTAGAAATTATATAACTATTAGAAAACCTGATGTAAATTAATTTCTAATATAATGAAATTTATTTTCTTAAAGTATACTCGGCGATCAATTTACAAGATTATTAATTGCACAGAAATTTTATTAGATCATGATAATTGTCTAATATAAATTAATTTTTGAATATTTAATCGTATACATTTTTTTTTTTTTTAATTAATAAAACTCGTACCTGTGAAAATGTCGAAAGGGATAAGACGAGAAAATAATTGACGTTTATGATAAAAGATAGAAAGGAGAAAAAAGAAAAAAAAAAAAAGAAAAAAAAAAAAAGAAAAATTGCATTAGAAAGATTGAAGAGGATCAGTTTAGATGTTTCTCACGGAATAGTTTACAAGCGTGGCATTCGCGTGTTAACACTTAACTCACTAACCGAGCAGAAGAGAATAGGGGACGGACCCCTTCTATCAGAGAAACGTTTATATCGCACACTGGATGCAATCCGTGACAATTGAAACAATGGCGCTTGATATTTCGTATCCGAGGTTCGTGCCAACGAATAAACAAAACGGAACGCGAAACGAATGAATATAATATTATATATTAATATTTTCAATAGTTACAAAAAATAATTTGCGACGGGATGATATAGATTGAGAATGAATCGTCAATAAAAAAAAATCGATCGTATCAAGCTCGAAACCATTCGTCTTTCTTTTTCTTCTTCTGTATTTTCTTTTCTTTTTTCTTTCTTTTTTTTTTTCAACAGTTTCTGTAAACTCTAATCATCCGTTTCCCATGCGATCACATTCCATAAATTTTCTTTTCGTTCATTTTCAAAAATAATTATGTCTACACGAATAACTCGTTTTGTACATCACGAGGGAGGATTCTTTTTTTTTTTTCTACATAAATACAATTTTTCTTCTTTCTCGTTGCTGTCTTTGTTTTCTTTGTTTATTTTTTCTTTTTATTTTTCCCCCTTACATCCGATGTTAAAAAGTAATAAATTACGGTAAATTAGGATTCCGTAAGAAAACACTCATATCCGATTGGATTGAAAATTCAGATCATATATATATATATAACCTAGTTATATAAAATTTTTTAAAGCCTTACCAACCGTGACACACATTCGAATCGTCCCAATTTCATCTCTCTCTTTCTCTCTCTCTTTTATTTGGATCACCTCATTTCGGTCGATTTTAAATCAACTGTGGAACAGAAATTGGGATGACGACGATTTCAATGCTTGGAAAGTAATTGTAATATTGAGAAAGGATTAAAAAAAATGATCTATGATATTTTCGATAATGTATCATTCATCTAATCGTTATACTTTTTTTTCTTTTTTTTTTTTAATAATCTCTTAAATCTTACATTAAATCGATGAAATCTTTTTCGGATTTTATGAGGCGATCTTTTTTTTGTCTCTTTCTCTCTCTCTCTCTCTCTGTTTTTTCTTCTTTTAATATCGGACATTTTTATAATGGAAGATAAATTTATCGAAAACTTTTGGAATTCTTTTGTCTTTTTCGTTTTTGGTTTCTTTTTTTTATCCTCTTTCTTTTTAAATTCTCTCGTGGTGAACAATTCGAGATAGTGTCCGATGTGTTCAAGCTGAACAGTATGATCTGCAGTTATAGGTAAGCTTCCTCTATGTCTCTGTCTGTGGTCGGCTAAGGTCGATATCTCCCGTAGCTGCATCACATGTGAGTCCGTCGTAGATGAATATTTGAGAATGCACTTGATTTGACTTTTTTTCTTCTTCTTCTTCTTTCATTATTAATCTGATTAAATGATTTTATAGTTTCGTTTGTTATATCCCGTTTATTAGGATTAGTAATGTGGAATATCTATGATGTAAAAGCAAATTTTGCACGGATTTATTTAGTATATTAGGTACACAGGTGCCAACATATGATATTGTTCTTTCTATACGCGAAAATTTATATTTTATCAAGATAACAAAAAAATCTCTTAGTTGTTTTTTATCGACGCGTAAACAAACACACACAAACACGTACATACACACGCAGAAATATAAAAACGTACGAAATTGTTTTTAGAAAGAACAATATCATTCTATAAAAAGCTTTTACAATATATAGAAAGATTTCCCCGCCTCCCCCACCACCACCACACGATAATCAAACAATATCAGATATAATAATGTGAAGAAAACTAAAAAAAAAAAGAAAAAAAAAAGAAAAAAAAACGAGAAAAACAAGAATATTATAAAATGAATAATAAAATAAAAAACAAAAAGAAAAAAAGAAAATGTTAATAAAATAATACTTGTACAAGTACAATGAGAACGGAATGAACTCAATCGCGAATAGTTGAGAGATAATGTTCAATTTGTAAAGTGATCTTGCGAGTTAATATAGACGTACACATATACGCCAACACACAGACGACATAGACACAGACACAAACGTATCCAATACACTCGTTCAATCAATTCGAGCTTTGGCTTGTAGCCAGAGTTGTTCTTGCTTTAGTTGCGAGAAAAAAAAAAGAAAAAAAAAAAAAAAAAAAGAAGAAAAATAAAAAAGAAGAAAATAATTAAGACGAAAAAAAGGAACCGATCGATAAATATTATTTTTCTTTCAGTTGGACGAGTATCACGATCGTTTAGAAGATTTTCCCGAGGAGGACGAGGATGTTAATAGCGACGACGACAACAATAGTGCACCGCCCATAACAAAGATCGTTCCAAATAAGCTTCAGGGTAGAGCTTTCAAAATGGAAGCAATGGAATTTTGAACGCGTCGCATTTAGGATGCGTTCCTTACGTTTTATTACAAACAAATGAAATAGAGGAAGAAAAAACAACAAAAACAAAACAGAGAAAGGAAGGGGAAAGAAGGAAGAAAGAAAGAAAGAAAGAAAGAAAGAAAGAAAGAAAGAAAGAAAGAAAATAAGAAGATAGGAAGAAAGGAAAGAGAGAGAGAGAGAGAGAGAGAGATAGAGAGAAGGAAAGAAAGAAAGAAAAGAAAGGTAGAAAGAAAAAAGGAAGCAAGTGAGAAAAAAAGAAAGAAAAAAGGGAAGCAAGCAAGCAAGCAAGAAAGAAAGAAAGAAAGAAAAGAAGCAAGGAAGTAAGAAAGCACGAAAGAAAGAAAGAACGAAGGAAAGAGGGAAAGTAGGAAACGTGAAAGCACGTTTAATTAAATATGTACATAATAAATAATAAATAATGCGATATGAATAAAAAAAAAAAAAAAAAAAAAAAAAAAGAAAAAAGAAAAGAAAAGGAAAAGAATAAAAACGGATCTCGTGCTTCCTCAGAGAATGAAAGAACGAGATTTAGATCTTCGATCTTCGTGGACGAAGATTTAGGAAGAGACCGTTTGAATATCGCTCGCTCGCTCGCTCGCTCGTATCGATCGAGAGACCGCATGATATCGAGAGATCGTATGATATCGAATATGCTCGTATACGGACGAGCAACAAGTTTCTTCTATTAGAAAATAGATGAAACAGTAATTTCATATTCGAAAATGTGTTTTCTCACTCTCGCTCACGAGGAAAATAATTACGCGAGTTGTTCCGTCAAGTTTGTTTTTTTTTTATCTTTTCTTTTTTTTCGCGCGCGCGTGTGTGTGTGTGTGTGTGTGTGTGCGTGCGTATATGCGTGCATGTGCGTGTATTTTTCTTTTTTTGTTTTATTTATTCCTATTTTTATTTTTTTTTTATTTTTGAGAGAGGACACTATGCAAATAAATAATATAGGAATTCGAAGAGCAATAGTTTAGAGAGAGAGAAAGAGAGAAAGAGAGAGAGAGAGAGAGAGAGAGAGAGAGAGAGAGAGAGAGAGAGAGAGAGAGAGAGAGAGTGATCAGAAAATAAAATTTAGATAAGAGCGAATTATGTTATCTATGTAATGGAGCACTTGTCTCAATTTCTCTGATGATTTATTTCCAATTAATCATATAATTGAAAATCTCGAATTTCAAATTTCTGTCTCTAATTTATTTGAAATATTTAAATTATTTTTCGATCGACGTGAGAAAGAATAAACCTACAAAAAAAAAAAATAAGAAAAAGAAAATAAGAAAGAAAAAAGGAAAAAGAGAAAGATCAATAGCCACGTGTGGCATCGATCAATCGACAATATCGTATATATTTTGATCTCTCAAGTGGATCACGTAGAATGAAATTTATAAACAGGGCAAGTAGATGCTGTTGAAAAAAAAAAGAAAAAAAAAAAAGGAAAAAGAAAAGAAAGAAATTTATAGAAATTACAAAAGATACAACAACAACAAAAGAATAAATAGCGTGCAAACTAATAATTGTCCGACTAATAATTAATAAGAAAAGTAATCAATTCAGCGAATTAGAATAACGAAAACGGGAGATTTGTTTCGATCGAAAATCGTAAAAAAAAAAAGAAAAAAAAATAAAGGCAAGAAAAATATGTCCCTGAATTTTCGAAGATAGAACTAGGCAGCGAAAAGGAAACAGAGGTAGAAATCGAAGGCAAAAAAGAGAGAAAAAAAGATAAACAAGAAAAAGAAAGTTTTTAGATCAGCGGCCGGCCTTTTTTGATCTTAAACTTAAAATCCTCGCTCTTCGATTATCATTATAATTATTTTCATGGCGTTTTAAGAAAGAGACGATTACAACGGAACGAAACTGCCATTTAACGAGAGTGGCACGAAACGTATTTTAAGTATATTTGGCAATAGATATTAGATACAAAAATCTAAGTAAATATATATATATATATATATATATATATATATATTAATGTATGTATAAAGTATACTTTTTAATATTAGACAATGCAAGCAAAAAGCCGACGTATGTATTATTTGGATTTTCAATTTTTGTTTTTTAAAAGACGTATATAAGTACGTATTTTTAATAATAAAAAAGAAAAGAAGAGACAAAAAAAGAATAAAAAACAAGAGAGAGAGAGAGAGAGAGAGAGAGAGAAAAGAACGAATGATTAAGCGAGAGTATACTTCGTTTGTTTTTTATCTATATTTTTTAAGTGAAAGCTAATTAAATAAATAATTCTTATGAATACGCTTTGATAGGCTTCGAAACGTTTGTCAAAAATATATTTTATTGTCTGATATTTGTTTGGAATATATATATATATATGAAAAGAAACAAAAAAATGGAGAAAAAGAAAAAAAAACAAGAAATAAAAAGAAGTAAGAAGGAAGGAGAAAAAAAAATCACAAATATGATGTTATTTGGCTGGTCCAGCTGTTTGAAATCATGATTATTTGTATAATCCGTATTAGGATGATCAAGATCATTTTGTCATATTGTCAAGAAAAATTTTCGAATGATATTGATTGTATGAAATTTAATGATATGAATCGATTTGAATTATCTCAAATAATAAATCATTGTCTGTTTGGTCATCCTAATCGACTTGAAACACTTTACCTATATGTATATATGTACACGTAATATCAAAGCACAGAGACGGATCAAATGAGACGACGAATTTCTGAAGAGAATTCTAAAAAATTAGAAGAAGAAAAAGAAGATGAAGAAGATTTTGAAAAAGGAACAAAAGAAAAATAAGAAAAAAGAGAATAGAGGACAAATCGGGAGGGACAAAAGAAAATATCGATCGAAAATATCCCAATGAAAAACTGCATCGTTCCTAAACTTACTTCCAATTAGTTCGGCTATGCACTAGCCCCAGTAAAATGCGTTTGGATCGTACAACGAGGCGTTAAGATTAGAAAATAAAAAAAAGAAAAAACGAAAAAAAGAATAAAAGAATAAATAAATCAAAAAAAAAAAAAAAAAGAAAAGGTCGTCGATCGCGTTACTCTATCCGTATTAAACTATACCTAATATTACCAAAGATTAAAATTTTAGATGATTAGTTTTAGCGAGGCTTGCCTCCGAATTAATAACAATCGAAACGGTCTTCGACTAAAATTCATTTTTCTCATTTATTATTTTATCCCTATATATCTTTCATTATTTTTCTAATTTTTCTGATGTTTCTTCTCTTTTCTTTTTCTTTTTTTTTCTTTCTTTCTTTTTTTTTTTCTCGAACGAATCAGTCGAACGAACCGAACCGAATATAAAATAATTATTGGCCTCTTTTTAAATATATAACTACAAACAAAAAAAAAGAATGTCGAGTAACATTCTATTCTTATCTCGAGTTATCAATAGGAAGAAACGGGAAAAGGAGCGTACTAACGTTATGTACATATATGTTTGCAAATAGATAAGATTGTCGGCTTCATAGAAAAGAGAGAACCGATTAAATATATATATATTTATATATATATATATATATATATATATATATATATATATATATTTATATAAATCAATATTACTGCGGATTAAACAGGGAAATATAATTTTTCGTGTTATTTATCCTGTGGAAATATTTTTTGGATTTGAATTCGTCAAAAAGAAAATAAAAAAAAAAGAAACAAAGAAAATGCAAAAAAAGGAGAAATAAAATTACG